TTCATTTTCACTTTATATAGCAGCATAGTGTGCCTTTCTTTTTTCTTTTTGACAAGTGAAGTCTATTGATTGGCTCCACAATTCCCCGAAACCAACAATACAAGATGCAAAAACGTTCTCTCTACTTTAAAGAGAGGTTTGTTCCACCCAGCAAAAGTTGCCGATTACACTTGCCCCCCACACAAGCCACATCAACTTTAAAATATCTGCTACCTACATACATAGTAGTACTATTAACAAAACGTGAATAATTTCCTGCAACAAAACAAAGTGGCTAGGTAATGTGTTTGATAAATGCATCTTTGGTTTATGGTTATTCAGGTAAGTATTTGTTCCCAAAAGAAAAAGAAAAATGAAGAAGAAGGGTTCCGTAAGTTGTTTTAAGCGGAATTTAAAACTCATTTCAAAGAATGAATTGAAACTCATTTAAAAATGTAGGGTTTAAAATGATGAAATTAAAAATTTGGGGTTTAATTTGTTATTGAGGTTAACCTCTAGGGTTTTTTTAAAAAAAGTAATTTTCTCAATTATTTATCATTATCACTCAATGGTAGGGGTGATAAACGAGCCGAACAGTTAATTGTTCAGGTTTGGTTTAATAATTTTAACGAGTTTCAAAATTTGTTCAAAATTTAATTCGTTAAACTTTCGACCCGAACTCAAATGAGTTTTTGTTGAGTTGTGTTTGAGTAATTTCGTATTTTTATATAGTTTTAGACTTAGCGAACCGAGTTGAACGAGAAATTTTGAAAATTTTAATGAGTTTCGAAATGTATTCAAAGTTGACTTATTTACTTAATAAACTGAGCTCAAACAAACTTTTAGCTGAACACGAGTTGAGCTTGAGTTGTTTGGTTCATTTATCGCCTCACTCAATAGCACAAGTTAATCGAAATGGATTGAACATTGGCATTGACATCATTCCGAGAATGAGATAGATTTTCTCCAGCTCACTTTAGCTCAATTTGTTTAGAATGAATGAAAGAGAAAAAAAAAATTAACTTTTATGATTTTGTTTAGCTTGAAAATGGCTGAGTGTAATTTTTTTTTGTACAACCCATATTAACATTGTAATTAATTTTTAATTTTTTGTTAAAAAGCACAAGAAAATTTGAATGTTTGAGTTATTTATAACTAAATTTTTCAATTTTTATATCTTTTTTCTTACAAAATTTTCATCTTAATAAAATGCTTGGAAGAAAATATATTTTCTTTTTTATTTCTTTTCTTTCACTTTCACTTTCTATCAAATTTTCTTTTGGGCATCAGGAGTCCTATCTTGATAATTTGAACTGCATATTTTTTAAACCACAACCTGTAAATTATACATAAAAAAAATCTTGTCAATTTGATTACCACAACCACATTAGTTTGCAACATTTATTTACCAAAAAGTGAATGACAAATATCATTCCAATTCTAAGACATATTTTTTTTTAGAGATAAATACAACAAATAAAATGTGATTATGGTTATCAAATCAATCTAATTTTTCTCATGAATAATTTACATATTGTGGTCTAAAAAATGAATTGTTCAAAGAAAAATATTCGAGACCCGCAAAAAAACACTCACAATTTGGTCTATAAGGAAATAGTATAATGGGTGTCAACTTTTGATTAGTTATTTTTATTTTTATTTTTATTTTTTTGATCGGCAAATATAATCTTTATTGATGAAAGCGTACGAAAAGATACAGAACATCAATAAAGAGGAGTTTGGAGCTACCTAAAGCTCCAAGCTCCAGTTGATGAGAAACCAACAACAAAACAAGAAAGCAGATAACAGCTAGCAAATCAACTCTAAACACAACAGACCAACTTACTACAACAAACAAAACACAGCAGACCAACTTATTACAACCTGACTGCAAAGTTAAGTAGCCAAACAAAACACAGCATACCAACTTACTACAACCTTATTGCAAAGTTAAGCAGCCAAAGATTAAACAAGATCTGCTCAAGGAAGATAAAGCAGAGCATTCTGCAGATCACCCCACCTGGGGGGAGCCACCAACCTGAATGAAAACTCCAAAGAACCCAGACTACACAACACTTGACACAGCTCCCCTAGATCCAAATGACTACACCTATGCCCTCAGCTGCACATTTTTCTGCAGCTTGCCCACGAAGCTAACCAGGCTTAACCAGTAGTAGAAATTGGAGCAGCACTGCAGAAATTACTTCAGCACTTCATAACAGCAGAACTTCACCACACAGATGCAGAGCTACACACAGAAACCAAAAAAACCAGATAGGAGCGTCTGAGGCAACTCCAACAGCATAACAGCACACGGATCAGCATACAGCCCAATCAACCACCTAACACATTGACATTCATCCCATTGAAGCATCCATCATGAACTCCTAATACAACAGCAACCAGACCAACACACAGATCAGCAGACCATATCAGATGCAGACCAGCAGAAAAACAACCTAGCAACAGACTTCCACCAAAAACCCTATCAGTTGCATTCCGCCAAGCACACCCCACAGAAACCATTGCAAATAGACCCAAAATTCAAACCAATAATTAATACAAATGGATATGTGCAATTTCAAATCAAAATATCAACTGGACTCCATTCACATCACAGTAGAAAAAAATTAGCAAACAGAGGACCTGAAGCAGAATCGGGCCAGACCAGGCCAGACCATTCACACATTGAAGCAGCTAAATCAGGCACCCTACAGCAGAGGACCTGAAGCAGAATTGCATAGGGCCTGAACAGACAACCTGATCTGATTGAAATTGCAAACAATATCATCGACTAAATACTCAACCTCCAAACTCCATTTTACCCACAGAGCAATCTGTACCTTCATTTTATCACAAAAATCATCAAAAATGGGTTGTACCCCTTTGAACATACATTCATTTCGCAATCTCCAAATAGACCATAACATAACAGCTGTAACTACCTCCCATAATCTAGAGACCCAATGCTTACACTTACCAGCAGACCACAACTGTAACAAGTCCTGAACTGATCCAGGGATTGCCCAAACCTGATCACTCCATCTTACCATTTGAGACCAACATTTCCACACCAGTGGACAAAACATGAGCACATGATTCAAGGATTCCACCTCAGCTTGGCAAAACACACATATTATTTGCTGAAACAAGTAGCACCCCAATCCTCTGAAGGAAGGCTGCAATCTTTATTCTGCCTCTCCAAGCCAACCAGCAAAAGAACTGCACTTTTGGCGGAGCTAAACCGACCCATACCCCTTTAGGCACAACCTGACCAGTCCCTATTTTAGCATCCCATCATCTTCTCACAGAAGAGACAGAAAAAAGGCCCGAACTATTTGCTAACCAAGAGCAAGAGTCAACACAATCAAACCTCAGCAACGTAGATATATCCAACAACTCCCTCAATCTCTGCAGCTCCTCAGCTTCCCATACAAATAACTGTCTTATGAATTTAAGCTGCCACAGCCCCATATTACTCTTCTTAGCACTGATTTGCTGAAGAGTCTTCTCTTTCTCTGTGGATAAACTATAAAGCCTAGGGAATTGAACCTTCAGGTCACTATTGTTAAGCCATTTATCCTGCCAAAACAAGGTTCTCCTTCCATTTCTAACCTTAATTCTAAAATGATCACCATAGAACTCCCCCAATTGCTGATTTTCTGAGAGCAATTTCACAATATCCAACCAGACTATGGACATCCCACCTGAAAAGTTCAGAGTTGGAAGCCAACCTCCTTTATTTCTACCATACCTTGAACAAACCACAGTTTTCCACAAAGCTGAATCTTCATTACCATACCTCTACCACCACTTCAATAACATGCATTCATTTACCTCTCCTAAATCTCTCACACCCAAACCTCCTTGACTTTTACTTGTGATTTCCTTCCATTTGACCAAGTGCACTTTCCTTTTATTAACATTCCCTCCCCACAAAAAAGATGACTGCAACTTGATTAAGGCTTTAACAACACCCTTAGCCATTCTAAAGAGAGAAAGAAATAGATTGGAAAATTAGCAAGGACTGACTTGATCAAAGTCAATCTCCTAGCATAGAATAGAAGCTTCCTCTTCCAAGAGGACAACTTTTTCTTCACTTTCTGCACAACTGGGTCCCAAGTACTCTATTTCCTAGGATTAGCCCCTAAAGGGAGACCAAGGAAAGAAAAGGGTAATTTCTTAGTTAAGCAATTCAAAACCTTAGCAAACTCCTTAGATTGATCTTCTTGGAAGCCCACACCACACACTATACTTTTATGATAATTAATTCTTAACCCAGACATCACTTCAAAACATCTCAACACCCTCTTAATGTTCGAAATATCCTCAATATCCCCTTCACAGAATATAATAGTATCATCAGCAAATTGGATATGTGAGACACTCACATCATTGGAACCAACAGTAGCACCCCTAAATAAACCCTGTACTTTAGCCTTAGCTAGTGGCAGATTAAGCCCTTCTGCAGTAATAATGAACAAGAATGGAGAAAGGGGATCCCCTTGCCTTAACCCCTTTTGTGGCTGGAACTCCTCTATAAGTGCACCATTGACGAGAACTGACACCATAGTCGTAGGGATACAAGCTTTCATCCACCTAATCCATTTGTCACCAAATCCAAAATTTCTTATCATTGCCAACAGGAATTCCCAATTTATTGAATCATAAGCTTTTTCAAAATCCAATTTTAAGATATTGCCTTTCTTCTTAGACTTTTTCCACCAATCTACAACTTCATTTGCTATTAACACCCCATCTAAGATATATCTACCACTGACAAAAGCTGACTGCACTTCATCTATCACAGAGGGAAGGGCCTTCTTTAATCTTCTAGATAGCACATTAGCCAAAATCTTGTACACTGAGGTAACCAAGCTGATGGGTCTATAGTCCCCCAAGCCTATGGGATTGTCCTTCTTAGGTATGAGCACCATGAAAGAACTATTAACACCCCTTGCCAGCTTCCCATTTGTGTGAAACTCATACATCATCTACAATATATCACCTTTCATTATTCCTCAACATTTTTTAATGCAAGCTAAGTTAAAACCATCTGGGCTAGGAGCCTTGTTCCCATCACAATCCTGAATAGCTGCCCAGATCTCTTCTTCATTAAACATTGCTTCTAAACCCACTATTGCCTCTGAAGAAATTGTAGTAAAAGGTCCAGAAAATTGTGGCTTAGAAGTCCAACTTTCAGCAAAATTGTTTCTGAGATGGCTAAGCACTACTTGTTTTACTTGAGTTGGATCCTCATGTCTCACTCCCTCCACAGCCACAGAATCTGTCAAGTTCACTCTCTGCCTACTACTTGCCATAAGATGGAAAAATCTAGTATTTCTGTCATCATACCTAGGCCACAGCAATCTAGACCTTTGATGCCATATTCTTTCCTTATCCCTACTAAGGTTCCAGACCTGACTTCTAACCTCTCTCCTTCTTGTTGTTTCCAACACATCCAGAGATCTAGTTTCTGCCTTCAAATCCCATTCATGTAGTTATTGTTCTACTGACCTCAACATAGTATCAATATTGCCAAACACCTCCCTATTCCACACCCTTAAGTGACTCCTTAAAGAGGATAGCTTCCTCATTAATCTGTACCCTGCCCACCCTGAAACCTATGTGACCTCCCAAATGTGCTTGATTTCAGTCAAGGATGTAGGATATGATGTCCAAGCATTAATGAATTTGAATGGCTTAGGACCCCAATCCCTATCATCTTCCTTCAACAAAATTGGAGAATGGTCTGAAATTGTTCTGGGTAATCCCTATTGATTAAATAAAATTTTTTCCTGCCAAAGGGAGTATAACAAAAAATGATCTATCCTACTCTACGTATCCCCTTCCAATGTATTACACCAAGTGAATTTTCTGCCTAGCATAGGCAAATCAGACAACTCCAACTGTTCCACAACCTCATTAAACTCTTTCATCCCCCTCTCTCTTCTTGAACACCCTTTCCTCCCACTCAATAATCTGATTTCATTAAAATCAGCACCCACACACCATGGGTTTGGAAAATGGGGTTGTAAGCACACAAGAGAATCCCATAACTTCTTCCTTTTCAACACCTCATTTGGAGCATATATATTAACAATCACACAATCAAAATCTTGAGCCAAGGTACCTGAGAGTAGAATGAAGTGCTTACTACTGCAGCAGTCTTTTAGCACAAACACTTGTGGCCTCCAATTACACGGCAACCCTCCTGCACTTCCTTCTGAATCCACCATCATATAACCCATCTCTTCAAAAGGCCACATGGATCTCACAAACATGCTCCTCCATTGAATTCCTTTTTGTTTCTTGTAAAAGTAAGACATCCACTCTTCTATCCTTTACCAAATTCTTTATTTTGCCCCTCTTTTGTGGCCTTCTCAGCCCTCTAACATTCCAAGATAAAATCTGCAGAATAAACTTATATTTTCTCCTTAGTCCCCTACTTAACAATCTGTTAAGGTCTGGCTGCCCCTTCCTCGCCTGCAATTCTTTGTAAATCATTTTCTTCAAGTTCCACTATCTTGTTGACTAGCTCATCCTCTTTACCTTGCCATTGCAAACCTAACAGTTTTCCAATCTTCACTATTGCTTGTGCTTTCTCCATTAAATTTTTCCTCCTTTGTGCTGCATGACTCTGAGACGAAGACAAAGAAGTAGCAACTGTAGCTGCTACTGCTGAAGCTCTGAATAGTGCCCCTCTTTGAAAACCAAGCCTTCCAACCATGCTTCTTTGTTTGCTATGGCCACCTACAGAGCAGAAGCCTTTCTTTATCCCTATGCCCTTTTGCCATGATATATTACCTTTAGTACCAACTGCTGCTTTGTTCTTTGAGTTTTTTCCAGCCCTTTTAACCATACTGGAATGTGATATATGGGAGAAATAGGCCTCAGATGATCTAAGTTGGGTTTGGACCACACAGTCACTCAAATCTGAGCCTAACCCCACATGTAATCTGCTAGGCTCAGGCCCAACCTGCAGGCCATCAAGTATTACTTCCAAATTTATATTTGGTGTGACCCCCTGCGGCCCATTCACTGCACTTACAAGTCCAGTATTGTCAACAACCCCATCCAATTTTTGAATTTTGGTTATCATTATCTGTTGCGAATTGACTTCCTGACTCATACCCTCTTTTTTGGACCCAGTGCCTACCTTACCATTTCCCATGCTAACCATAGCTTCAGCTGGTGCATACTCCCATCATAACCCCTACGTATCACATATGGTCTACCAGCCACTGTTTCTTGAACCCTACTGACCTCATCATCTTCACCAACCACCTCTTTCTCCCTTACTACAGTACCTCTGTAATCACACCTTGTCGTCCCACCATTGCCGGACACCTGATCCACCTCCACAGTCTCACAAGCTTTAGATTTCAACTCTAGCAACTCCTTCACTCGACTTTCACTAGAAGTAGGAAACAAACACTTTGGCAGTTTTTCACAGATCCTTACTGGTATATATTTACCTTTGAATTCCAAAAAGATTACTGAATTAATCAACTCCATACATCTTGTGATTGCTCGTACTTTTCCATGGTGAAAATTTTGTGGGCTAGTAATATCCTCTTGGAATTGGACAACAGTCCCCCAATGGCTTCCAATGCTTCTAAAATTCGTCACACTCCAAAGATTGATTGGTATGCTAGAGCAATTTAACCAAACACATCTCTCTTGCTCCTCAAAATGGCTCTTTCCCCACTCATCAACTGAATCACACCACTTCTTACCCCACTTGCCTATTTGTTCCTTCCCTTCCTTCATTTGTTGAACATAATTAAAAGTTAGCACTACTATTCTTCCTCCATTGTCCCTAACAATAACATCTCTCATTCCCCTATTATGTAGTTCTGCTTTAAAAACTTTCACAGCTAAGAAGCTACTCAACTTCACCACTAAACTTTCACAAAGCCATCCATTTCCTTCTTCATAAGCTCTGATCACCACCTTCTTACTGTCACGTACTCCTCCTCTCACTAATGTTTCTGCGTATGACTGCTTAACCCCATTATCCTGCCATTGCTACCTTTGAGGCCGCTGATGCATCATTCTGCCATCATCCCCTCTGTTTAGCATCCCTTTCACTCGATGACCCAGAGCATGAGGTTTTTGAAACTCTGCTCTTTTAACTTTCAGCGCCTTGTTATCACACCACAAACCATCAGCCTTCTTAATCGCCATCTCTGCTGCCATCTCGCAATTGTATCACACAAAGCCAAATCTGGAACCTAAAACTCTTCTCCTCTTCCCTGGTATGAACGCATCCTTGACCACACCAAACTTTCTAAAAAGACTGAATAATCCTTTAGCATCCATGGACTCAGGGATGTTGTCCACAAAAATGGTAATCACCTCTGTCTTCTTGCAATAACCATCTTGATTTCCTACCACCCTCCTTCTGATCACAGGAATCCAACCACCATTCATCTTAGTTCCCTTTTCTACCCAGTTTTGGGGAAAGATGTGATCAATATATCGAATGATCAATATATCGAAAGATGTGATCAACTTTTGATTAGTTATATACTCAATAATATAAGACCTACTTTTTTTACTACATTATTATTGGTGAATTTGTGAATCTAAAATATGAGTTTCTAGTATTACTTTTATTTAAATTATTGAGATAATACTCATAATGGACCTCACAGACCCAAATATATGGTTCTTATAAAAATGTAGAGCTTAAATTAATAAAATTAAACTTAAAGGTTTAAAGTGTAGTATTTGGAATGTGTGATAATAAAAATAAATAAATAAAAAATCCACAGTTAAAGTTGTGAGGCATGGCTCACGTGTAATGAGAAAATAACTTTCTCAGTTCATATATATAGTCTCCATTCTTGCAGTGTTTATAGCAAAGAAAAATATAGACACAAGCATGGAGATGAAGGTTGAGATATTAGCTAGAGAAATCATCAAGCCATCTTCTCCCACTCCCAATCAATTTAGAATTTACAAGCTCTGTTCTAGGGATCAATACTCTCCCCATCATTACATCCTAGCTGTTTTCTTCAATGCCAACCCTACTCGTGATGTGAATCACGAAGAGATGGTTAGCATAAGATCCCAACGCTTAAAGGAAACTCTCTCTGAAACCCTCACTCGCTTCTACCCACTTGCCGGAAGACTGAGAGACAATCTCTTTATCGATTGTAACGACGAGGGTGTTGATTATTTGGAAGCTCGAGTCACCGACTGTCCTCTCTCAGACATTCTTGAACAACCGAAAGTCGAAGAAATGTACCGTTTATTTGAACCCAACCCCGAAGACTTTAACAAGAACCCTCTGTTGTTCGTTCAACTTAACTTCTTTCCATGCGGTGGAATGGCACTTTGTGTGCGTATGTCTCACAAGATCGCCGATGGAGTCGCGTATGCTGCCTTCGTTAAGGCCTGGTTTGACATCGCCCTCGGGTCATCTGCGACTATTGTTCCAGATTTCATTTCTGTATCGTCTCACTTTCCACCGAGAGAGGACAGCCGGTGTTGTCAATGATGTTGGTGCAGATGACCGAGAAGATTGTCACAAAAAGGTTTGTGATCGATGCGTTGAAAGTTGCTACCCTCAAGGCCAAAGTGACCAGCATGGGCGTGCCGCAACCTACCCGCGTACAGGCTATCACTGCAGCCCTCTTGAAATGCGTAGTGACTGCCTCCCGATCACATGCCCTTGGACTTGAAACTAACGCTTCAAGTCCAGAGGCATATGCATTGATAGGGGTTGTCAACATACACACAAGGCTTGAGCCACCCTTACCAAAATATTCTTTTGGAAATATAACTGGATTGTTGTGGGCAATGATCGAAGACGGTGGTGCGGAAACAGACTTGCCAGGCTTTGTTTATCAGCAGAGGAAAAGTGTTCAACAGTCAACTCATAACAATTTCACCGCTGAAAAGACAAAATCGTTGAGACTCAAGGGAGACACTATAAAGGTGTATCGCCATTGCAGTTGGTGTAGGTTTGGTTGATACGAACTTGATTTCGGGTGGTGGAGGCCAACATATACGAATGCTGTTTTATTTGGTGGCCCAATTGGAATTGGATTATGTTGGACAATCTTCACTGTATTTAAAATAATTAATTCTGTTGCGTACTTAACAACAACTAGAATATAAAAGAAATAAAGGAAATGAGAGAATTTGTTTGATTACAAAAATCAAATTGATTAATTCTTGAATAATAATTTGATCAAGTCCAGTGTTTGACACTATGTCCTTAAGACAGATTCGTCCTCTCCACGATGCTTTCAGAATGTGGACGTCTATCTCCCAAGATGAAATGATCAACTACAAACAATAGCAACACTACAAATTGTTTGCCTAACGAACACACTAAGTGTTTAACTCTTTCTTACAAAAATTAAATGCAGCAAAATGAAGAATAAAATTTGCAGAGGTGAAGTACGAATTTTCTGAATGTATAAACATCAAATGAGGGCTGTCCTATTTATGGATGGATTGGTGGCTGCAGGTTTAGAATTAAACAGGTGCAAACCTGTTTGAACAGGTATGAAATCTGTTTTGTTTTGAATTTAAACAGATTTGAATCTGTTGGGTTCACAATTCAAACAGATAAAAACGGGAAGGGCCTTGTTTGGGTGTACAGTAAAACCGGACCAGTTTATTTCCGAAATTAATTTGAATTCTGGATTTTATTTTACCAAAAAATAAAATTAAATTCAAATATTTTTGACCCAAAAAGATAGGCATTGGGCCGGACAAGCCCAACCCAACCTCACACCACGCACTCGCGCCTAAGCCTAGGCCCAACCCAGCCTGCCCTACTGACCGAATGGACGGCGGCGGCGCGCGCACGCGTGTGTGGTGATTTTTGGGTCCAATGGGTCTAGCCCATTTTGCCCATAACCTCCCTCTCTAAAACACTTGGGTACCCCTCGGGGCACACCCCAACTTCCAATCCCATGCCTTATAAACCCATTCAAAACTTTCCACCAAATCAATGTGGGACAAGCCTTATTCAAATTTTTAAGGATTTTCCACCAAAACTTCATTTCCATGGAGCATACTTTGGCTTCAATTTTCCATTCACTCGGTAATGGTTTTGAGCAACCAAATATACCACGTGAATCACAATGTGGCATAGAACGCGTTACCACTTTGACCCGCCAAATTTGATGCTCGGGTCCCACCAAAATAATAGACCAAAGTTAGGAAAAAATTCTGGTTTTACCCAGAATTTTCCAACCATTTCCAACAATCCCCTACATGAATAGAATTTGATGACAATGGAAATGCAACAATATGCAGACTTTATCAAAATAGTATAAGTCGAAATAATCTTGCATCAGGATAGGTAGCTTTTGGCCTTGAACCTTCCCTAGTGATAACCTATCGGACTTACTAGCTAACCAATGGACGCGATGCCTTGAATTGTTCAGCCGCTTGTGTAAGCCAAGGCAGTAGATTTCACACAAAATATCTTCTAACACATCATGGTTCTCACTGTTGTGTTTATTTTGGCCTTGAACGCTCCTGGTTTTCATGAGTGTTTCTAGAGAATTTAGCCTTTTGCATTCTCATAGAACTGGCCCCAGTTCGACACTCATATAGGTGATTCTTATTATGAGTATCTCCTTATACTCGTCTTGATTTTATGCCTCAATCAAGATATAAGTAATCATTAAAAGCAAAGCTTATCCTTATACCCCTGCATACAACAAATGTTACAAATATCACTTTCACCATAGGAATGTGTAAAGAATTTTAATCCCTTGGTGATTTCTGGTGAGCCATACATAACTTAGTTGTCCCTTTGAACTTAGTTCTTAGGATCTCCAGTCATATAAGTAGCGTTACCATTATGACGACTCTTATGTAATAGGCTTTAATCCCATCCCCTTTGATGAACTATACACTAGCTCTTTTGTCAAACCTTTTGTTAACGGATCCGCAATATTCTCTTTAGATTTTATATAATCTATTGAGATTATTCCATTTGAAAACAATTGCCTTACGGTATTATGTTGACGACGAATATGTTGTGATTTACTATTATACATGTGATTCTGTGCCCTGCCTATTACAGATTGACTATCACAATGAATACAAATAACTGGCATAGGTTTTGGCCACATTGGAATGTCTTCTAAAAAGTGACGAAGCCATTTTGCTTCTTCTCTTGCTTTTTCTAAAGCAATGAACTCGGATTCCATTATGGATCGTGCGATGCAAGTTTGTTTCGTGGATTTCCAAGAAACAGCAGTTGCCTCCTAGAGTAAAGACATATCCACTAGTGGATTTTGAATCTTTAGTATCCGATATCCATTTGCATCACAATAACCTTCAAAGTACTGCTAGATATCGAGTAAGTTCAAACCATGATCATGGGTGAATCTTAGATATCTAAGAACCCGAATGATTGCCTTCCAATGGTCTTCTTCGGGGTTACTAGTGTACCTACTCAATTTACTGATAGCATAAGCTATATCAGGACGAGTACAATTCATTAGGTACATTAGGCTTCCAATGATTTGGGAGTATTTTAACTGAGACACCGCATCACTTTTATTTTTGATAAATAAAGATTGACGTCTACAGGTGTTCTAGCTAAATTCATATCATCCTTGATAAATTTACCAAGAATTTTTTCAATATAATGTGATTGAGATAATGCATATCCGTCAGATGTTTTAGTAATTTTCATTCCTAATATAACATCTGCGATCCCTATATCTTTCATATCAAATCTTTTGTTAAGCATTTGCTTAGTTAATTTGATCATGTTTTGACTACTTCCAATGATAAGCATGCCATCCACATAAAGACAAACTATGACATATCCTTGGTCAGTGTTTTTAACAGAGACGCATTTGTCACATTTATTTATCTTAAACCCATTAGTAAACATTGCATGATCAAATTTTTCACGCCATTGCTTAGGTGCTTGTTTTAATCCATAAAGTGATTTTACAAGCCGACAAACTTTCTTTTCTTGCCCCGACACTACAAACCCTTCGGGTTGCTCCATATAGATCTCTTCATTTAGATCACCATTTAAGAAAACTGTGTTAACATCCATTTGATGTATTTCTAAATTAAACAACGCTGCTATAGAAATAAGCATGCGAATGAATGTTATTATTGTCACAGGAGAATATGTGTCAAAATAGTCCAGACCTTCCTTTTGTTTGTAACCTTTTACTACAAGTCTTGTTTTATACTTGTCTATTGAACCATCTGCTTTCATTTTTCTCTTAAATATCCACTTATATCCAAGAGGTTTAGAACCTAGTGGAAGATCCACCAATCCCTAAGTATGATTTTGCATAATGGATTTAATTTCATTATTAATAGCCTCTCTCCGCAAAAGAGAGCTTCAGGACTTGTCATTGCTGTCTTAAAGCTTTGAGGTTCATTTTCTAACAGGTATGTCAGAAAATCTGGACCAAAGGATTTTGATGTTCTCACTTTCTTACTTTTTCTTGGTTCATCATCAGTTAAATCCTGTTGGTCGAGACCATTACTAGTGTCTTTTGTTTGATTGTCATTAGTCTCTTAACTTTGTGTACAATCATAAGTTCTTTTTTGTGAACTTAATTCATGTCATTTCTTGTAAGGAAAGACATATTCAAAAAACACAACATTCCTTGACTCTTTAATAGTGTTCACATTTATATTAGTTATATCAGGTATTTCTGATTTATAAGTCAGAAACCGATATGCACTACTATTCTGAGCATAACCAATAAACACACAATCTATTGTTTTTCGTCCAATCTTAGTCTTTTTAAGAATAGGAACTTCAACTTTTGCCAAACACCCCCACATTTTTAAGTATTTGTAGGAAGGTGGTCGACTTTTCCACAATTCATAAGGAGTGCTGTTGGTTTTCTTGTGGGGTATTTTGTTAAGAACATAATTAGCAGACAATATTGCTTCCCCCCACAAGTTTTGTGGTAAGCCTGAACTTAGTAACATTGCATTCATCATTTCTTTAAGGGTTTTATTCTTCCTTTCAGCAATTCCATTTTGTTGAGGAGAATAGGGTGCTGTTGTTTGGTGAATAATGCCATGTTGTGCATGAAATTCATTTAATGGTGCACCATATTCACCAGCCTTATCACTTCTAACAATTTTAATGGTTTTACCAAGTTGATTTTCAACTTCTGTTTTGTAGAGTTTAAACATTTCTAAGGCTTTATCTTTACATCTAAGTAAATAAACATAACAATATCTTGTGCAATCATCGATAAATGTTATGAAATACTTTTTTCCTCCTCTAGTTTGAATAAATTTAAGATCACATACATCTGTATGGATTAATTCTAGAGGTTCGATTTTCCTTTCAACCAATTTAAATGGAACCTTAGTTAGTTTCGCTTCTACACAAATTTCACATTTATGATTATGATTAATTTCAAACTTTGGTATATAATCTAAACCAATTAATCTACGCAAAGCATCAAAATTCACATATCCTAATCTACCATGCCATAAATTCGACTCAAGAATATAAGCAAAAGATGTGTTATT